GCAGTGTGCGGCAAAGTAGCCTGAGGGCTTGTCACGACGTGGAGCGTCGTGCTCTTTAGTAACTACTCAACTAAATACGTAAATGACAACAAATACACAAATACAACAAGTACATATTTACAGGGCCTAAAAACTTGTGCTCACATAACACAAAATGTGCTCACATAAAAGTGCATGTGCTCACCTAGATTGCAACTTGTGCTTAAAAATTGTCAATACTCCCCCCTTCTGTGTAATTAATCGGCTTCAACCTGTTTTCTTATTTTTTAAAAGAGCAAAAATTTGCACAAACGAACAGGAAAACGCTTTAATCCAATGCGTGTCACGTAATCTTTCAGTGGGCGTTGTGTCAGTGGGCAACTTTTATAGGACACACATTTCTGACGCTGCACAGCCTACATGCACAATAGTGCTCCTGTTGTTTAAATCACACGCGCTGTTTAGCACTTGTACAGATAAAATAATATCAAAGTAGAGTTTTTTAGACAGCGTTTATCTATCCAGATGCAACGGGGAAACGCGATATGTGCTATGGGTACAATCCCCGAGCAGGATAGCATTGAAGAAGTGTTTTTGCTTTAAATCTCTTTTGTTTTATTACTCATTTTGTACTTGCATATGATACGCGCTAAAGGTCATGCTCATATCAAAGAAAACCAAGAAACCGGTATCATTGTGATTGTGACTAAAAATGTGCTTTTCAACTTTCACGGGGATGATCTCGTAGTTATTCAAGAGAATTAAGTTTCCGGGTAGACATGCGGCATTCTAGTGGTTGTTTCAGCAATATCTGTTTATCCATTTGCAGATAGAGTTAAAGAGGGAATGCCATTTGATTAATAGTATCCGAAATCACTAGCCTACTTTTTTTGCTCATTTCCGCTTTTAGATTTAGCATCCGAAACAGCAATATTGTGCATTTGAAACATGCAGCGCCGGAAGTGTGGATACGTTAAAACGTGTCCAGCGTCAACTGGCAAACCTCCCTGTAAATGATAACCGATAACGTGGTGGGTATCGGCGTATATACTGGATCTCTCAAACTGGTCGATAGTTTTTACACTTTTTATTGCTAGTACTTGCAATGTTAGTTTACCCCAACGATCAAGCTCGATGTTATTTTAGGTTACTTCCTCTTTTTCAAAGACTAGTAAATCCGGTACAAAACGGATACCGTTCCCGAATGTTAGCCGTAAGGTCATCAATGCAGCCAGCCCACAGCCAAGTTCAAACTGCAAAATACGGGGCAAAAAGAATCTGTTTGCTACAAAAAAAGCTTCGCTAGTTTTATTTTATTCAACAAATTCGACAAACCCGAAATATTTCTGGAAAACTAGCCTAATTTTATTGAATTTCTTGTATTTCCTGGACAAAAAGCATCGTCGGCTTCGCGCGAAGCTCAATTCGAACTCAAAGGATTTGCAAAAATATCCACTGTCATACTAGCAACCCTCTTGCAGAAAAAAAACTAGCAACTTGAGCCATCTCCCAATTCAGTTTTTTTTAATTTTCCTGGATACGTATGTATCCAGTAAAACGTATGGATATGTATGACTTACGTATGAATTTTACTGGATACGTAAGTTTTCTGTAAATTTGCCAACGTTAATTCCATCTGTATACATACTCCCGAGTCTTGGTAATGTCAGCCAATATGAAAATGCAGAGTAAATAATCAGTACCCCCCTCTTTGCGAAATTAAGTGTGCTCACATAGATTCTAAAGATTTTAGGCTCTGGACTACATAATACGACATTGCATTGGCACACGTTGTCATGCATCACATCTCCCTTTGTTAAGAAAAAGTTTCTTAACACAGAAAATTGCGGAAAAATCCGCATGCATTAAACTGCAAGAAGAAGAAAAATTCCAAATATTAGTGAGACTGGTAATTATATTTACCGTCTTTGACAAAAGTTTAATTAATTATTATTTTCAGAGACAAATGTTGAAAGAAATTTCCAGTAGTTTAATTAAATAAATTTTATTAATAATATCATTTTAAAATGAAATAAATTCCATTAGGCAAAGGTTTAACTTCGAAGGCTGGCTAGTCCGTGTTTGTATCGCGCTAATGCGATAGGATTTAGTCTCCTTGGAAACGTTTCGTTTGTTCGCAACTGACGACCTTCACTTGAAGAACTGGGGAACCCGGGAACTTGAATGGGCGTTTCCCTTCTTACGTTGCCTTGAAAGGAAAGGAAACGGACGCTGCTCTTCGTATCCATAATAGCGGCACTGCTCTGCTCTGTCCTTCGATGCAGGCTCGGGCAGGATCTGGCTGCTGGCTCTGCTCTGCTTGAATAATGTCGACTCGGGCAGGAATGTCGGACTGCTCTCCTCACTTATCTGGGAGTCTGGCAGTATCCATAAAGGTGCGGGGACTGTGTTCCGGCATTGGCCATATCTGCTCGGTGTCCATGTGGGAATCTGGCAGTACTGTTTTGGCCAAACATTGCATGGGCGGGATTGGTCATTTCCCTTCTCTCCTCCCACGGTATAGAAATAATTTGCCAATTCGGAGTACAACCATTAATTATTATTTTAGTATCACTTCTTCTGAATGTTTAGTATCACTTCTTCTGAATGTAATAACATCTTTAAAAATTTTCACGAGTTTTTAGAATACTGCATCTTCACGCCAATTCTGTCACGACGTGGAGCGTCGTGCTCTTTAATAACTACTCAACTAAATACGTAAATGACAACAAATACACAAATTCAACAAGTACATAATACGACATTGCATTGGCACACGTTGCCATGCATCACAGGGCTATTCAGACCCTTATTGTTATACTGCGGCAAAATAGCTATTGCCAATTTACAAAGAGTCCATTCAGCTTTTCCGCGGTATCTGTTGTGTCAAGGACGGAAATCGCATTCCCTCTCTGATTCTCCGACGGCAAGCCTCGGCGATTGACATTAGGAGAACGCGCTGCACTAGCTTGCTCTGCTCATTGATGAACGCCATTCTCGGAATCTCGAGTGTTTTATAACAGCTACTAGTGCAGGTAAGAATACAGACTGTCATTTTTCTCTTCCGCCTGTTCCACGGTCGAAGCAGCGATGAGGGAGGACAACTGGGTAGGAAACGACGCCTTGTATGCACACACGTAAAATAACGATGTCGGAATTCGACGAAAAAAACGCAAAAACTCCTCCAACTTGCTCCATATCGTATGGAAGGTCAAAAGTGGCCATTTTGCCGGAAACGCTCATTTTCGGCCTTTCGATCTGGAATTCCGTTATGCTGTACGACCGGAAAGTACCGAAAATTCCTGACAACCAGCAGTCTAAAGCCACCCCCTTGGCAAAGAATTGGCCACAGGTATGGTCTCAGTCGGTTGGGGAGTCCATGGCGACATCCAACCGGCTAATACCATATCTCTGTACACCATATCTCTGTTTTCAAGGTGAAGACTGCTGGCAACTGTTTGAGCATAATCAGTAAGATCGCACTGCCTTGTGAGGCCATTCCGACGGGGGTCACTCGTTGAACGAAAAGGTCGCGACTGCATGATCGATGGAACTACCTTTAGAGTGGAGAAGGCTAATGCGCCACCATACTGTACGTGGAGTGAAAGGCCCGACGGTGACGCCCAACGGCCATCGCCTTCCGGATGCCACAATGTCAAACGTTTTCTTAAGAATTTTCTGCAAACATTTTGAATCAGGTGTTGGATTACAAATCTTGACGAAAGTCCTTAGTCCAAATGATTTTACTCATTTTAGTGCAGTGTAGTGGGGTGTACAAAATGATTCACATCATTATTCACGAATTGTCCGACTGTTATCGACGCCGCTGCTCAACCGGTGTTGATGACGACGACGACACAACACTTGCTTTCACTTACGAGTACGAATAAACAGCCTAAACCGTTAAAACTCAAAAGTCGTGCTGACCATGAGTTTGGCAGTTTCGGAGTTACTTAATTAAATTATCATTGTGGACGTAGTTTCACGCTTCGCGTAGATTCCTATGAAGTATGTCTCATTGAGATATTACAGTAACTCATACTCTGTTGCTGAGTAATGTCGGTAGGATTGATTATTATGATTTATGGTAATTATTCTATCGCACTGGTCTCCCCGTCCCACGTACGGATGGAAAGTGTTAAGTTAATCCAAGCAGAATCCGTGTTAAACACAAACGTCACATAGAATGTGATTTTCACATTGGCGATTCTCTGTGACTGCTATTACGTTTGAGCTCCTCGTTGCATAAAAGGTAAATTTTGCTCTGTTTTATAAAAAGCGTGTGACAAACGTCGAGGGAAACGTGAATGTATGTTTAGCGCTGATGCCAACTAATTCACTTTTACCCTTTCAGTTTGCTCTTTTTAATTTCATTTGCTTGTCCCAGTTTATCTTTGAGAAAACCACCGCTTCGGGAACCTTTACCGTTAATTAACCTTTGGAAAGGTATATTACCGTCGTCACTTTACCGCTTCCGTTTTCTTTTTGCATCGTTTGTTGCGTTAGGTGTTGGGCAGTAATGCGCGCATGCCAAAACCTGCATTATAAGGAAGCACCAAAAAGTAAAAACCACTGTCATCCGTTCAACGAGATAGAAGCACAAAGTGAACACGTCTCAAAGTTCTGACACGAGTCGCTTACCCCGAATTTCTCATCATATTACTCTGAACCAATCTTAGGATGCCGGTTCATACTGAATTTTTGCATGCGTAGGAGACATTTTCTCTGAGACTTTTCAGATTCGACATTAGGAATAATAAATTTAAAATTCTGCAACTCAGTGTGTCGAGGCCGTGAAGTTTTGTAAAATTTGTGTCTTGAAGTATCGTGAAGTTTTGTTTTTGTGGTTATCGCAAAACATTGTATTATAAAAACATTAGTTTGCGGAAGTGATGCTATTAAAGTTACCGGTACAAATTTATCCTAACACAAAATGTACGTAGTACAGACTGTACCCGTAATGGAAATACGTATGCCCCTTGCATTTGAATAGATTAAACAACGATACCACGGACCAGCAAACCACCGTTAATAAAAGACGCAGTATATTCGACAATCGACACTAATTACAATAAAGTGGTAGTCAGTGTATCGTTTGCACTTGCAGACGGTTTCTCAAACCACTAGGGACCTCGCATTTGCAGTCCTGGTTCCAGGGCTGCTTTGGACAGCAAATTATTCGGCCGATTTCCCAGAGATAATGAGTGCTAGTCTCCACAGGCGGGGTGGTCATCGCTGTCGCTGCTTCTTTTGTCTTACTTCTTTGGCCGGCCAGGTCCTGTTCATACTGCTCGGGAGTAGGCAGGAACCGTGCAGGATGAATCCTTGCATATTTAGACGTATCCGCTGTGAACTATAAACAAATTTATTATTACAACCAGTCTTATCGGTATAACAGTTCGAATAAAGTTCTCACTAATAGTTACGCTTACCACGGATGCGAAACTCGCACATAAAATCAAAATACTGGGGCCAAACATCCTGGTTAAATTCAAACCTGGTTAAAGCGCGAATAATTTTAATTTAACAGATATTTTACAAACTGAAAAAAATACGATTTACCGTACAGACCTATCACGCAAATGCAAGTCCGCACTCGCTTTTATAGTGTAATCCAGCAGTTGTGAAGTGCAGTTTTGAAGTGTGTTCGAGAAAGTAGGAATGGTTCTTTGAATCAGTTGAGAGTAATACCAATTTTCTTATGTGTGGAAAATGCTGATAATGATATGGAAATTTCTTGGAGAAACAGAAGGTTGCTCTGACCACTTCAAGACTAGGTTCTGACACTGTGTGTGTGTGTCAGTGACTCAGTGTACAGATACGAGTACCTGCATATCTGCAGCGAAATATCAGGCAAAAATGCAAATTCATCGAAATTTAAAATAGTTAACGCAGACATGACATCGTAACGCTGCCGACTGCACTATGAATAATTATTAATATAGTGTTATTTTATCTGCTACAAAGAAATAGTTTCAGTAAGCCGTATTGTATTGATTATGTAAATATTAAGTGAGCCGGTAAACAGAAAAGTAATCAGCAAATTAAAAGTAAGAGGAACCGCACTCGGGAAATAAATTAATGACAAGTTAAAATGAGACCACCGAAATACGACTGGTTTGATTAGCAGAGTTTTCAGTTTCATAATAGCCCACCTCAAATATGCAGGTATAACCGGTGTGATATCATAATAGCGCTCTATCTGTACATGGTTTATTATAATACACAGTCATGTTTAAACAACAAAACATTTTGTCTGAAGTGTTACAGCAGGGCACCTACTGAACGAAGAAATCAGAAACACAGAAATAATTACTTTACCAAGTTTGTATTCATGATTATGCGTCCGGATTTGTGATTTCTTTTGGCCTTGCGCGGGTGCCCTGTTCCAACCAACCGCTCTCGCTGAAGTGTGGTGCCGGTTTGCGTTTGAAAAACTCGAGACGTCTTTGTACGCTTTGGCTTGGCATCCCAAATTGCCGGAGTTGCAGACTTGATAGCTTGTTAAATTTCTGCGGTCACCCAGCCGGTACTTGGTAGTTGGTAGTGGAGTGCAAATCACCGTTTCGCTTTGTGGATAGCTCGTATTATGAGGTCCCATGTCAATACGCCGGAAAAATGTCCTGCCAGCCCGAATTTGTTTGCGGTCAATACGCTGGATGAATGAGGTTTGTAAAACAGTCATGATGTATCTATTCAAATTTATCCCCGTATTAAACCGTTCAATCACACAGTACGCGACACACCCGCTCCGTCAAAAAAGTGCACTGCGGTACAGGGCCAAATAGTTTCGATCGCATTATGTTACAAAGCGTTCCCTGACACCGAAAACTTTCGAATCTGTCAGCTCTGGTACAAGGAAACTGTTTTAGTCACGATGATAACGATGTGCCCCTTGCAACATTACGGCTTGCGCGCTTAGAAAAGCGTACTAATGAACATGGTCTCACTGATGAACATGGTCTCACTGGTCCTTATGTATCCGAATCCGATATGCGCGATGCAATAAATACTTCTATAGAACTGCGGACTTTACTCTGTCACAACTACAAATAATAGCGTCACTAACGCCGAACACTGATTTTTATTCCGTTGAAAGAAATCTTATTCTGTCCGTTGATGGTGGTGTGCTGATCCAATCACATGCAATGGGCATACTTATCAGTGATCACCACTACTGGTACTAGTGCGATGATTCGTCAAGATGTGTTTTGTATGTATGTACCGCTATCTTTAACAGCATGACTTCGACAAATGCGTGATTTAGAGTTGGAGCAAAGTTCATGCAAGAGATCTATTTGCTTCTTTTATAATAGTACATGCCGTGTATGCCGCAAGTTTCGTGACCATAAAAATTCAAACACCAAGTGCTTGAGACGTTGCGCTATCCAGTCCCCAGGGCTTATTGAATAGGAATCGCCCCACTGAACCCACCAATTGTAAAACGTCATTCTGAGAAGTCCAGATGATCGGCGCTGCGGCGGTTGGGTCTGGCGTTATTCATCCTTCGGCGATCAGGTCCTGATGCTCCTGCTTAGCAGTATGGATGAATACTTCATGATGATCCCATGCTACTGAATAGGAATCCGCCCATTGTACCAGTCATCGTATGTAGTGCTAATAGCCTTAGGCGTGGTGGTTGGCGCTGCGGCGTATTCTGCCAAAATTCTGTCGGCGGTAATGTTCAGATGCTCACCGGTGTGGATAAAAATTTCAGGGTGGTTCCATTCCTCAAAGGAACGCATTTCCACAATACACTGTAAAAAAATAAAAAACCAAAAGAATATTATCAATTAATACTAGTTGAGTTGCTGAAAAGCAGAACTGTAAATTATAAAAGTTCCGAATAAATTTTCGAGACTACTTACGCTTACCATGAGCCCAAAAATCGAGCATAAAATTAAAATACCGCTGCAAAAAAAAAAAACTTGGTTTTGCACAAAGACTAGGGTAGTTAAGCGGTGTAAGCGCTGTGCCTGCGCTGCACAGAAAGGCAACCAAAACACAGACGCCACAAACGATAGCTTTATTAATATCGGCAGATGTTAATAAAGGGACGAAACCCACAACATCAAAACAGCCCCGAAGGGTCACTCTAGCATGCGCAAATATCGAAGGCCATCTCGTACAGCATGGACGTCTCCATGCTGTCGAGCCAAAATCTAACCGAATGAAATCAAAACGTCTCGGCCATGTGCATGCAATGCCAATCTCTGGCCGTAGAGCATCACACAGAACACGAAATCGGAGTCGGTGCAACACCCACTCAACCCACACTCCTGGGCGGTGGCGCCGATCTCCTGACATGCCACGGGGCGGGACGCCGAGGTCCCTCGAGGCCATAGCACAGCAATAAACAAAATCAAAACACGTCGGTAAATGAACAGAGTAATGAGTAAAAATGCGGCCCAACATGGCGGCATATTCTATCTTTCTCACAAAAATAAATGAAAGTATCCCACTGGTGCGTTCCATTCTGGAGAATCCGTTCATCCTCCAATCTCACGTTTCCGATCATTCAGCAGTTGCATCCAGCACCATGTCGACGTCAGTGTCAGCAGGATCGGTAGCAGCGGCGCCAGCGATAACACTCAGTGTTTCGCTAATAAATTCGGAAAACACAGATCGTGTCGGCTTTTTTCTTCCACAGTAATGTGGAAAATTTCGGCATCGTCGCCATGTGGCGCGGTCGGCAATTTGATAAACAAATCATCTGGCATATTGCCCGGCGGTTCGATTAGCTATCATTACGATAACGCTGAACGGTATCGGCTCCATTCAATCTACGATTAAATTACACTAATTAATTCTAAATTAGTCAGCCAAATTATTTAGTCGGTGTAAAAATAATTGTGAATTATTATCAGCAACTATTCGGCAATTTAACGGCGGCGAATTTATGTATTCGGCAATTTGAATCGGTCATAAATAAGGTACGAACCACGTATTTATTGAATTATACCAGTACGTATAATTCACAAAGGCGGTAATAATTTCCATATCGGAGCGGCAAAATAAATTAACATTTTAATCGGCGAAAGGTACGGACCACTATGATGCTAAAAAGTGGGGAATTAATTCGGCGAGAGGTATGATCCTCTAAAATAAAGGGATTATTGCGGCAAGAGGTACGGACCACAACAATAGTGGGGATTTTAATAATGAGAGAGGTATGGACCACTCGATATGATAATGCGCATAGCGCGTCGGTGGCAGTAATTTAGTTACTCAACTAAATTATCGGTTATTATCGGCTCACCATATCAGTGCGGTAAATGTACGAGATCTCTTGACGTTAAAATGTCAAATAACTGGCAGACGGCAGAACAGACGCAATTCCAGAAATTACACTAAATCGAAATTGCAGACAAGTAACCGGTTTTACTACAAATTACAGGAACATTTTCGCTTTTGACTTATTTTAGATAACACCGATATTAGCACGAATCTTCCCAAGGTTTAAATAGAATTGCGCGGTTCACCACTAAATAGGTTCGGCTTCAACTTCAACGACTTTTCTACTTATAATCCGATAAATTATCGATCGGTAGATATCCGACAATTGTTGTTATAAATCATTTATCACAAATTTTCGGACATTTTCGCACAGGTTTCGAATGTCTAGTACCTTATTGGCTTTTTTGGAGATTCGATTTAGTGGCACGATTATGTCGGTTTGAATTTAATCCAAATGATTTAAGCATCAAATTGCAGATACTCTCGTCGGTCGACATCCTTCGAATTACCGGCAATCTTCCAAAGCAATTAAAACGTAATAGTAGGCGGTAAACTTAACAATTAAGATAGCACGTGGCTGATGCCACGGGTATCGGGAAAATATTGACCTATCGGCATTTTCTCTTACTGGTTACAACAAGACGGCTCCTGTGATAACGGTGATGCTGCAGTACAGTGACCACCCGGTTGCCGCGGGGATCGCGGGGAAATAAAAAGACTGGAATGTAGCTGCTTGGTAGAATTTATTCTGTTTCGATAGAAATCACGTGCATAGCGGCGGTTTCCAGTAACTGGATCATGGTAAGCTAGATAGATCGGATTATTCGACCGCGGCACTTCTTTGTAAGAACAATCGACATAATAATGTCCGGAGATATCACAGTGTTGACAGTATCTGGCGACTCTACCGTTTCGCATCATCTTTTCCAGACACGGCGTGCGATCGGTTATTTCGGTTATTTTATCGACATTATTTGCCCATTGTTGAGCACGACTCGGTTTGCGGTGATTAATATTAGTCAGCTTAATAAGCGGTCGCTTATTAACGGTATTATTAGCAGCATTATTAATACTGATAACTGCTTGTTGATGACTTTCTTCGTCATCACTCCATTCTTTATTCGACTTCTTGGCTTCACATTTTGTGCGCTTTCGGCGTTTTTGAAGATAAACGACATTATTAGTCGTATTCGGTACAAATCGGCTTACGGAATTTTCCATATTTTCCGGCTTTTCACGAAGTTTCGTATGCAGTTGTGCGATTTCACACTGCAATTCGCGAATCAATTCATCCCGGTCTGATATTCTTCGCTCCAGTTCGGCAATAATGTCACTGGATAAAGAACTAGATGAACTGTCGGCTCGGTTAACATTTTTAAAATTATCGGAATTAATCGGCTGAGAGCAAACAATCCGTTCGGCACTTTTCATCGCATTTGCGGCAAATTGTTTCACTTTATTAAACGGTGTACGCTGCATGTCGGCGGTATCGAAATAAAATCGTTAATCACATTCGGTCAGTTTACTGGAAGTTAACGGCTTGTAGTGCAGTTGACTGCAATGTCAATGAACGAGACTAGACGGCTATGGCCAGACACGGTAGCACCAGCTTCCGTGTTCGGTAACGATCGGCAAAATCCACTGCGATATTCCGCAGTCGACCCTGTATTTGACGTTGAAAAATTCGAAATCTCACAGTGTACAAATCACGGTATTTCTACCATTATTACTCGGCGGAATATTATAAAATAATCGGCAATTAGTCGGCAATAATTCTGGTGAATTACGAATAATTCACCAAGAATAAATCGTTCGAAAAACTGGGCAAAAGTATGCAGTAGTATCGCGTGCTACACACAATTGCTTCGGCGACCACATTTCATCGACTCTGCAAAAATACCCACAATTTCCGTAATCGATTTTCACCGATTACAGTCGGCAAATTTTGCAGCAAAATATCGGCAAATAAGGTTCTGGAATTCCTGTGAATTGCAGTTCAAATTGTACGGCAAATACGCAATTTTGAATTGCGAGATCGGCTACTGAAAACGATAACACACGGTAGCATTGACAGCTCCCGTGTACGGCTAAATTCCGATTGTTGCGGATAAATTCTGACGAATTTATCCCTTCGAAATATCAGAATTTTACGGCAATAATTCTCTGCTATTGCAGAAACAAAATCCACGGCTGAATCGACTGAAAATTCGACCGTAAAGTCGGTGTTAATACGGCAAAATCGGCCAAACTGACACACTGCAACAACTCCAAAAAGCTGCTGTAATCAGCCAGTGTTTCGAATAATAGAACGATATTCCTTTCGGAGATAGTTCGGCTAGATATTCTGATATTAAATTCAGAAAGTTTTCGGCTTTATCTGCCAGAGCAGATCGGCTTACCTGCACTGACACGACGTGACGATTGTACGGTGCGGTGCGTTCGGTGTGCTGCTTTCCGACTGTCGTCTAGAACGCAGGATCTCGTTTCCGCTTGTCTGCTCCCTCACGGAAGAATCCCCAGTGTCTGGTCGTTCCTCCGATGTGCGAAGAAGGCAGATGTCGGCTGTTGGTGAGGAGAAATCAGCTCCGGTCCTCCACGATGTGTCGGGATACGATGCTGATATTTCCGGGTTCGCGATACGGCGTCACTCCACACTGCGCTGTAGCGTATGCGTGGAATCCGGTAGGCCGTACAAGGAAATTCGGCGATGCGCACAGTTGAGTAAAACACTGTAAGCGCTGTGCAGGACAAAGCCCCGCATCCAAAATCTGTGTAGAAGAAGGTAGCGTCGATAGGGGGATCGGGGATCGAAATCGCATCTCCACCATGTAAGCGCTGTGCCTGCGCTGCACAGGAAGGCAACCAAAACACAGACGCCACAAACGATAGCTTTATTAATATCGGCAGATGTTAATAAAGGGACGAAACCCACAACATCAAAACAGCCCCGAAGGGTCACTCTAGCATGCGCAAATATCGAAGGCCATCTCGTACAGCATGGACGTCTCCATGCTGTCGAGCCAAAATCTAACCGAATGAAATCAAAACGTCTCGGCCATGTGCATGCAATGCCAATCTCTGGCCGTAGAGCATCACACAGAACACGAAATCGGAGTCGGTGCAACACCCACTCAACCCACACTCCTGGGCGGTGGCGCCGATCTCCTGACAGCGGGATAAATTTCCTTTTTAGTGTTCGATTACTCTGAAAGTTGGAGAAAATAAGATTTCCCTTATATCATACACATGCAAACCTGTAAAATTTGATGCACTGAAGCCACTTTTATAGGGGTATTCTGTAAAGTCTGTGACTGTGACTGGGTGGGACTGGGTGGGACTGTGAGTCTGTGTGACTGGGACCTTATGTGACTGTGAGCGTCTGTGACTGTGCCACACTGGGCGTGGGAATGATTGGGACTGTGACCTTTTGGGAGTGGGGCTAGTGGTTGCTGCAATCCGCCAACCAACTGACAGGACACTTCCGGGGAAAATTTTTAACTGGCTTTTTGTGTTAAAAGGCAGTACTTGCAAGCTCAATCTGCAAGGCAGTACTTCGTAAGGCTTTCTAGAAATTCCAAGATTGTTTAGTATGGCATTCGTCGAAGAGAATATTTAATGTCCTTATAACATACAGAGTATAATAAAATTCAAAACCAAATTAACAGAAACCATAGCTGCTACACGAACCATGACCGCTATCTAGGCAAACCGAATCGCTAGTACCCTGGAACAAGATGAAAAAAACCGCAGGTACTGCGCAGGGAAAAACTGCCAAAAAAACAGTGCAGTAACCATTCAGAACTGGTGTTCAGCAATATTATTTCTTATCAACAAATTTTGAAAATACATGTTTTTTAAGATAACGTAACGAAGCAAATTTAAGAGAGGCAAAAAACCAAAAAAATACCTGCAACTGGATCAATAACAAAGGAATACTGGCGTAATATCGAACCTTACGGAAATACAAAGCTAACCGTTATTGAAAAATATTAAAAAATCGCGAAAATTGCTTGCTTGTGCTTTTCATCCAACTTTTCCTTCGTTTCTGCCGAGATTACAAAAGTTGCAGATTTCAAAGCGGGCGTGTTCACGCTGATAGTTGCTGCAACAATGCACCCATTATTAGCATGGCAGTAGACGTTTGACGGCTTTCCCTGTCGTTGGACACCGTTGCGGGGGTATATTCTAGTGCCCACTGACACAAACATTAAATCATTTGGTGAATCAGGTTTAATGTGGGGCTGTTTGCGAAAGTTCCTTCGACATCCGCTGCACTTGGTTGTTTGAGAACTGCAATCCTCTAGCAGCCATAATTCATATTCGCCCGGTTGTGGCTTCGGTTTGTCAGCCAAATTACGAACCAATACGTAATCCCAAATCTTTTCCATGGATTTCTTTTTAAACGACTCTCGGTCAACAGGAAGAGCCTATGAAATTGTACGGGTTACATTAAGTGGGTATAGAGCAGCAAGGTTAGTTATTGTAAAAGCTTTGTTATAACAAATCAGTTATTAGATTGTAGTCGCAATACAGTCCCGGTATACGGTCCGGTAAACAATACGGTGGGACAGGATAGCGTATCGGAACCGTATCGTTAGCACATTTGAGCTGTCGCACTCATCACAAACGGTGTACGATACAGTCGAGTAATGCTTTCGTGAAGAAACGTGAAAAGTTTCAATCAGCCTTGGAACTTTTGTATTAGATAAACTGCGTCCAGCTGTAAGTCATATCAAAACTAAAATTCCAGATTGTTTTTCGATATCAGAACATCTAAATTTGAGCGCCAGTGAACGTTTCTAGGATCATTTTTAATTAACACAGAAGTCTATGGAGTCTGAGCGAACAGTGCGCAGAGTACTCCAACTGCTCCGTAAGCTTAGCATGGTAAACGCAAATGGCTGCAGAATCGTGAATTTTTGGACAAACCGCTCCCACTTGGTATCTCGCATGCCACCGGCAGTTCGAAGAAATCTGGACACGTGGCTCAGCTTGCAGAAAATTCTAAACGGCGGACATATTCGTTTTCGGGAAGTGGATACTTTTTTGGTGAAGGCTCCGCATACCACCTTTATACCACCTTGGGCTCCTAATACCACCTTTCATACCACCTATGGCTCCTAATACCACCTTTTGCACACCACGTTTGACTCCGCATACCACCAAACAATTTTTTTAAACTTTAAGTAAAATGATAAATTAAATTATTTGTTACTATGATGTTTTTTTAAAAATGGTGTTGACTGTGGACTATTTGCTGCGGCATTCGCATGTGACCTTCTCCACAAAAGAAGCCCGACAGAGACATCATATACCGGCAAAGGTATCCAAAAATGGATTTTAGAAAGCTTTGAAAAAAAAACACTTCTACAAAAAGACGCGCCGGACGGCAGGCCAAGAGAATTGCCAATCCGGGATTTGATATTCCTTATCGGCTATAGATGCGGCATTGTACGAAGCCCCACGTGTTGATATGGATGTAGCTGCGCAATCTAATTTAAGTTATTCCCGATATTAACATTTATTAAAATTTAATAAAAACGGATTTGAGTAAGTATTAAATAAGTGGTGGTATGCGGAGTCAAAAGTGGTGTGCAAAAGGTGGTACTAGGAGCCAAAGGTGGTATGAAAGGTGGTATTAGGAGCCAAAGGTGGTAAAAGGTGGTATGAGGAGCCTTCACCTACTTTTTTTTCCCCTTTAGCGATCGAGACGTTGGGAGTATTTAGCCCCGCTTTGAGTGAACTGTTGCATTTCATGGGCCGTAAAATTCGTGATTTAACTGGAGAAGCGCGTTCTACTGCTTTTCTTAAGCAGCGCTTCAGTCTCGCTGTTGTAAAAGGAAATGCCACGGCTGTCTTGAGCACGTAACCTTTTAATCCAAGAGAAGATAGAGATTTTGGTTGTTTTTTTAATGTTTAAATTTTAACTATTAAGTAGTGTACCAGCGCTCGCACTCATTGTTATCGTGGTGGCTATTGCCCATTAAAAGAACTTAGTAAAATATAGCTTTTATTGCATTGCGTAAACCACAACAAATTGAAAATGTTAATAATTTATTATTAATACAACTTATACAAGAACACAGACGCAACGTGGAAAATGGTACTTACGTTGGCGGTTGACTTTCATGGACGCTGTCGTCGTCCGTTTCATAAGTTTCGGGTCGCATGTTGCATCACTGCACTGTTTTAAATAGTGCTTCCGTATTCGGATGCGCAGTACAGTATCGGTGATTCACTTACTGTTCTTTAGATTTACAGCAGATATTTTTTAACTGAATAGTGCAGGAAAAGCGAAGCGTTGAAATCTGCAACAGACTGCGCCGCGTACGGGTTTAGTAGTGGTTTTACTTTCCGAAAACGTTAGTGTGATAAAATCATTTCACATACACGAAAGACTAAGAACAGAAGCCGAAAACAAGTGCGCTGTTTGGCTTCCGATGTTTCCTTCAGCCGGTCTTCTCTTAGTCGCCTGCATACTGTAGTTCCGATCCTTCTCTCACAGAGCAAACGAGAGGGTCAAGACCAGATCACACCTACGTGCGACAGCCTAGGAATTTGAAAGGCTTTTGTTTGTTGATGTTTGCCGCTTACGAATAATGCCGCTCTGTGCCCTAAAGTGGCAGGCACCAGGCAGACACACAAGAACGCAGCAGAGGGATACCGCATACTCAGTCGTCGATCACGCTGGACGCTAAACAAAGTTTTCCCGAATAGGCTAAAATAATGTGTAGTGATACACATTTTTTATAGTGATACATGTGTAGCGTGTGTATTTAGTTGACCAAGTGTGCAAGATAAAAGAACTTCAGAACCATTTAAAAAAGTGAAGGAGGGTCTGCTGAAGATAAATAAAAGTATGATTAATGTTACTTTCGACTATTTTTCTTGGAATTTCTAGAATGCCGTACGAAGCACTGCCTTACAGAAGAAGCTTGCATACTGCCTTTTAAAACAATGAGCCAGTTGAAAAATTTGACCGGATGTGCACTGTCAGTTGGCTGGCGGATTGCAGCAACCACTAGCCCCACTCCCAAAAGGTCACAGTCCCAATCATTCCCACGCCCAGTGTGGCACAGTCACAGACGCTCACAGTCACATAAGGTCCCAGTCACACAGACTCACAGTCCCACCCAGTCACAGTCACAGACTTTAGCAATACCCCTTTTATAGTTGGCATCCAACAATACTTATGGTTTTGAAGTGTGTACGGAAAAATAGGAACAGTTCCTCGAATGCATCACAAATTCCGTATGCGTGGAAAGTGCTGATGTGAAAGTTTCTTGGAGAAACCGAATGTTGTTTCCGACCACTTCAAGATTCGGTTCTGACACTCTGTGTGTGCATAATATAGGGGGCAAAACTAAGCGTGTTCCACGGTTCCCCTGTATTGCTGCCGTCACCCGCCTGGAGTGTGACGTTACGGCAATACATATGGTTAAATCTGGCGCGGTACATAAGCGCCACGTTTAGCCACAACGTAAAACTCCAGCCGGCTGACGGCAGCAATACAGGGGAACCGTGGAACACGTTTAGTTTTGCCCCCTATATATCAGTACATTATACATATGGTATATAAAGTATACGTGTGCACATGCAGATACGAGTACCTGCTTATTTGCAGCGAGATATTAGGCGAAAGTGCAGATTCGTCGAAATTCAAAGATAATCAGCATAGGCTGGAGATCCTAATGCTGTCGACTACACCACGAATCCACGTATAATGTGGAACTCAGAATGAGTCCAGGACAGAGATCCCCACTGACAGGATCCTGCGTAGCGTAATATGCTATGAAACCTGGATAAATGCTCAACGCACGACATCCACTAGCATAGGAACACTTTGTTGAGTGTGCAAATCGACTGACTGAACAACTGAATCCACTCTGGCAAATCTGCCAAGCGAAGAGCCAAATCCATGCTCATCGCAGCGCACATAGGCGCGCCCACACAAGGCACATACGACCAATCAGAAGAGACACAACACAGACACGTCATCCGCGTAGCGCCACAGGCGTGAGGGTGTACGTGAGTGCAACCATGGCTCACATGCCTCTGGGAGGGATGCCGAGCTCCGTTCGAGGCTGAATCCATCTCCGCGTTGAATCCGATCGTTTGGCGGACGGCCTGTGTGTGCTCGTAAAAATGCTAATAAAAACA